GTGTGTGTCCGTGTGTGTGTGTCCGTCCGTGCCCTCTTCACTTTAGAGTCAGGCCCCTGGTTGTAAAGAAAGTGATGGCTTTTCATCCTGTGACCCACACACACGCACACACTCTTTGCTCTCTCTCTGGAAGTTAGTTTATACTCTTAAATCAGACTCCTCATATGGACATGCATGTACAGTATGTATATGAACACACACACACACACACACACACACAGGAACTAAGTTAAACCTCTTAAACAGACTTCCTCTGCAGCTTATGGTTTTTGACCACTCTAATGATGAATAGAAACACACGGCGCCTTGCTATAGCACTGGGATTATGGGAGCTCCCCATTTGATACTATCAGAATCCCTTTGGCTTTATCAACCATGTGTTTTTAGTTAATAGCATAGTACTTTATTTACTTATTTCATCTGTTTGTTGTAGTAGTAGTACTTTTTTTCAAAACTCAGGAGTATAGGGAGTAAAGTTTTATGAGGTCTGTGCTTTTCCTGAAAAAGTCTTGAAAACACTGCTTTTAAGTTAATAACATATTCTTTTATTAGGTCCTGTGTGCTACCATGATTATGCTGATATAAATATTATAATTAAATAAATGACTATATTGTCTTATTGTTGAAACATGGAGTCAGAGCTGGAGAACCGCCGTCCCCCAGTCTTACTTCAGACCCAAAGTATGATCAGCTTGTGGGTCTGTATTTGCCTTTAATCTGAGCGTTCATTTGGTTCGGCACAGTGTATGATGTCACACGGCGGGAAACCTTCGCCAAGCTCGACAACTGGCTCAACGAGCTCGAGACGTACTGTACAAGGAACGACCTCGTGAAAATGCTCGTGGGAAATAAAATCGATAGGGTGAGTGTGCTCTGCGGTCATGTATAAGATGTTTGTGTTCCTACTCAGGTTAACAAGGCTGTCTGATAAGAGAGGAGCAGGCACATAATGAGTTTGCAGTCCAGCTTGCCACACACACTACTTTTTGTCTTGGCCTGAGTTGTTATAATCAGAGAAATTCCTGATTTTGAATGGACTTAATATTTGCTTTTTTCTGACAAATTTTGAAATAGTTTTTCTGTTTGAAGAGATGGAAAACAAACCGTGTCTTTGTTTAAAAATCTATTCCACAGAACAGGAAAATAATTTACCAAAAATAAGTCTCTAAAAAAGAAGTCAGCTTTCAGCCAGCTGACAAATTACAGAACTAAATGACGGTGACAGACCCACTTTCATATTTTTGGCAGCTGGTCGTTTACCAGGATACCAGAGTCAGTCAGTGGGGATACAAATGCCCACTAAGTAGAGCATTATGAATTTATTGTGTCCTGTTCTTTGTCTGTGAAAATCACTTTTCCTCTCTGCCCCGTGACGACCACAGTAGCTGACAGCTCTGCCCGGCAGACCTCAAATAAGCCATTACCTCTCTTTTGTTTTAGGAAAACCACGAGCTAGACAGGGCAGAAGGGCTGAAGTTTGCAAGAAAACATTCCATGCTTTTTATAGGTAAGTCAGGAGGATTCCCTACTCTACAAAGACCCGCTGGGCAGACTATTACACAGGAGGAAACAGCTTTTGAAATAACTATCATACTTGTTGAGGAATGCTTGCATAGTTCTATATATAAAACTGGCTTCGTATATCATATTCCATGCGTTTTTTGTTTTTTCCCTGCGCCTATTTTTTTTGGATTTGTCATTAAAGGACTGCTTAAAACTGACTTGCACTTCAAGTTCAACACCTAGGCTTTATCTTCATCAAGTATTGAAAAATGTTCTTTTAAAAATGTTTGTTGAAACGGAAAGATATCTTTCTGATCTTTTCAAGGCATAATCATTCATAACAAATTAATTCAGATGAGTTTTTTCTAAATGAGATTAATCTCTTCCCACATCCCATGGATATTACTATTCTAATGTTTCTGGATATCATCATGTTGTGGAGCGGGTGTTGACTATATCCCTTAATAACCTCCTAAAGTTGACTATTAGTGTCCTGGGTTGACAGTTATTGTGGAGACGTTTTCCACCACTCGCCAGTCCAGTCTGGGAGCACAGCAGATGACATCAAATGCAGACTTTAACAGTCGTATCTGTATCTCATCTTCTTTTATTTCCACCCTCTTTCCCTTTTTATCTTACTTTTTCTTTCTGTATCTGCCCCTTCCCTTGTTTTTTTTTTTTTTTT